ATTTTTTTTGGTAAAAAGCTTTAAGTCAATAAAAAAATTTAAAATTTGATGCAAATTTGTGCAGAGTTTGAAATTTTTACTTACATGGTTTTTGTTAGATAGCGAGAATATAAAAATTCATAAAAAAATAAAAAGCGTTAAATAACGGAAGAAAAATAGCCAAAACTTGTTATAATGACGCGTCCTTATTTATATTTTCGCCACCGTACATATGCAAGTATAAATATAATAATATAATTTCTAATAATATAAATTCTAGCTACTCCTATGAGCTTGTGCCATTTTATGTAGAAAATTAGTTGTTTATGTTTCTTCCGGAAAGATATGCAATTGTAAATATTTAGTCAACTAATTTCATAAATTGTTCTCATACGCATAATTTTCAAAGTAAATATCGAATATCAGCTTATTGCATTATTTTATCACACAATTTTATAGACCACTTGGGAAATATGACGACCTTCGTGCGACAATCTATGTGTCTACTTAAGCAAAATAAAGGAACTAACTTGGTTGAAAGAGTCTACATACATTCACATTTTCCTTTCATATTTTATATTTTACAAAAATACAGATTACTTAGAGCTTGCCACAACATATTATTTATGTGCATTGGTATGTACATACATACATAGTTACATTTCTACTTCTGGGCTTACCAAACAGCTGGCAAGTGGCAGGCAAAAAGCCTCCTGTAAATTCAGTTGAGTTCAGTTGGTTGAAGGTTTCCAACTATCCTGACTAGCTGGGTGGCTAGCTAGCTACATACATACATATGTAGCTGTATGTAGCTGTATGCCTTTCTGGTCCGCTGCTTCAACTGTGCCAACTGTGCGCTTGGCTCGTTTGTATTGCACTCTCAAAATGGACGGATAAGATAATTCGTTGTGATGTACGGTTTTTGTATATTTATAGTCGAAAACTGAGAGCCCAGAAAGAGGATGTGTTCTGTAAAATAAAAAATGCCTTGCATACCAACAGGCGCGCGTGTACAGCATTACGCTTTCACTTACACGCTTGGCGCTGTTGATATCTTTTCTTCTTGTGTTTTTTTTTGTAAGCTACTCTTTGTTGGCCAAAAAAAAACAAAAAAGCGAAAAGGTATCCAGTACAAATATAGTACAAGCTTCCACAAAGTGGGTGAAATTGCAGTAAAACACGGGGTTTTTTTTTTGGGAAGAAAAAAACAAATATTTGAAGAAAGGAAACGGCAAACAGTTGTATGCGGGTGGCATCTCATTTGAAGTTGAGGCTGCAGTCTGCTGCTGGCTTTCCTGCATTGCTTTGTACTACTCTTGGCAAACGCCGCTGAAATGAAATGCCTATGTACTCGTAGGTTGTGCCAACATTCTGCTGGCTATGAGCTAAAAGCCTGTACCTTATTCGTGTAAACGTATGCTTGTAGGTTTGTGTGTTTCCACGTTTTGCTATTCTCAGTCTACTCACATATGTAGTTAAGGAAAGATAATTCTTTTTCATTGGCGTTCCTCCTTGTCGCCACCTAAAACTACCAAATTAATTCAAGTCCTTCTTTATCTGGTCTTTCCTATACCTATGCTACCACCAAAGGTTTCCACGTTGAATACTTTCTGTCTGGGAATAGCTGACTCATTCTTCATCATGGCTCTGCCAGCTCTCACATACCGATTTAAATAACCACCTTTTTGACCCCGCACAACGACATAAAATGATTGGCCAACACTTCC